TAGAAGTTCGTTCTTTTCCTCATCAGGTAAGTAGTTGTGCCAGAGGTGTTCTATAATTGGTAAGGCCAATTCTTTATTACAGATCATATTGCGTTTCACCACTTTTCTTACTACTCCAATTCTAACTACCCACCCAGTTGTCCTCCCAACCAAGATCCCAGTACCGCCTTAAGGTTGTTGGTGCTACCTATACTAATCGAGGATTTATATACACAACCTTTGTGTAGTAAAATCTTCTGTAACATCGCTTGTTATACGTAGTGCCATCTCTCCACAAATAGGTCTCTTTCCAGAAATTCCTATTCTAAATATATATTCACTTAGACTTCACACATGTGAGTATATTCAAGTATTCGTAAGAAACCATATTTACTAGAACTTGAACCCAAAACCCGCTCGTGAGGGTTGGGTGCCTAGACTACTAGGCCGCATGATCCCAACTCTTAAAATAAATTAAATGAACTTAATATAATTTAATAATCCATATAGTTATATAACATAAATCTATAATTCGTCTTCACTGATAAAGACTTTGCAGAAATTAGTGCAGCATTAAATGTGTAGGGCAGTTTCGTAGTTCAATTGTGTGCCTGGCACATAAAACGGGCTGTAAAATACAAGCTTGAAGAGAAAGCAAAATTATCAAGCAATTCTAGGTTAATAGCTATGAATTATAATGCTTGTCAAGCGGCTAGTGAATATGATTTTATTGATCTTACTTTTTGCCCAACAGAAAAAAATCGTAATTCAAAGTCATATGTTGTTTGCCTATCTGAATTCCGAGAAAAGATTCTGGAGTTGATGTAAAAGCACTTTGATATACATTTATTAATTCCTGTAGATGCATAAGGAAATATAATAGAACTGGAAGCGATTAAAAAAAGTGCTATAGAAGAAATGTATAGGTTTTGTGTAGAGCACGATTTACAGTTAGTTTTTTTAAAAAATTTTTTTTTAAAAAAAAATATATATATTTTTTTTTAAATTAATTATCGTGGTTTTCGAAATGGTTGACACGAAAATATTTTGTATACTCACTATATACTGATATAGAATTATCTAATCCTAAAAAATTTTTTTGTATACTTTAAATACAACTAATATATTTAAAGTATACAAAAAATTTTTTTAGGGTTAGATGATTTTATATCAGTATACAGTGAGTATACAAAATATTTTAGTGTCAACTATTTTGAAAACTGTGATAAATATTTTTTTTTAACTTGTAATTTTCTTTAGGCTGCTTTGGTCTTATCTTTGGACCAATTGATACTCATTACAACGATGGTATCTTTGGGCACGATTAGCCAAACCGGTAATACTATATAGAAAGACTATGATGAAGATAGAAACACATTGGAGTATTATTAAGCGTCATTATTTACAATGCTTCAATCAACCTAGGCTCGATCTTCTAATATGAACACTTCTCAGAGAAGTGATACCAGCACAGAAGGAACAGTTTTCACAAATTTGGGCTGGTATTATAGAGCCACACTGATGGGTTGACTTCAAGAGAGAATGGACCTACGCAGGTGCAAATGAAGAAGAATGAGCAAGATTACATAACAATAAAAGAAAAATAAATATTGATATAGGGGAATTAAATAGTTTATACTTTACTGAAGTTGCCTGATGGGTTTGTAGCTGTCCTGCTTTTGCTAAATATTGCTTTTTTCTATGTAAACATTTAGTAAAGCAGACTGTAAATACATCTAATAGAAAAAAACAACGTTTACTTAGGTGTAGATTTGAGCATCGTACCACACCACCATTTCTTGTTCTGAACGATTCTGATACCGGTGATACTACATCATTGAAGACTCAAGATGTTGCCCAAATCGTTGAAACCCATGTTGCTGATGATTTCCCTGATAGCTATAACATTAATGCAAATGAAGATCCAGATGAAGAGGCTCATACTTACAGTGCATAGAATTGAATTGGGAATCATTTGAACAAGCCTTTAGAAGGATCTGTTCAGAAAAAGTTGATAATAATTGGTGGCATGTTGGTGTTATAATGAAATGAAGCAGACTAGTTATAATGGAAAAAAATATTCAAAGTGTAGAATGGCGAAGAAAATGGCAGCTAACCTGGTTACCAGAAAATAGTAAAAAACTATATCTCATGTATTTATCATACCTCAAAGAACCAAAATCAGTAGAGGTAGTGTTTGAGGAAAATGTAATTAATGAATAATAGAATAATAATATTTCAAAAGTAAAAAAAAAAAAAAAAGTAATAAGATCTAGCTAATTTAAAAGCTAATCTAATCAAGTTCTTAATAGTTAAATAAAGTATATTTAGTTTAACGTCTAATAAAATAAAAGAAAACTATTAGTTTTCAGTTTCTTATTTACTCTGTTATACTCCAAAAACTAAAGTGTATAAGAATTTAAATGCTACTAACTTTTAAAATATTTGTGGTGGTGGATAATTACGATAAGTTAGATAGCTGCGGCAGTGATATGATTATTCGATTATCGATCTGATATTGATTACCGACCCTACATCGATGATCGATACAGACTTTGGGGGCCGCCCTGATATACTCAGTTATAAATAACCACTCCTATTAAAACTTAGGATTAGAGTGCAGCTTTGAGATAAATAGAGATTTTTTATATAAAATATTTTTTTTATATAATATAATATCTATTGGATATAAGGCCCTAATCTAAGTTTTTATGAGGTTTTTGAGATTCTGAACATTTTTACTTAGAGTACCTGATCACATTTACTTGGCACATTATTGAGATATTTGCAAACAGGTTATCCTTAACCACTGGCACAAGTTAAAAATATCCAAAAAAAACACTAAAAATTTAACTTTTGTTAGAGTAATTAGAAAAATTTTAAAATTTTTTACCAATATATACTTATATAATACTATTTATAGTAAAAGTTTCAAACCTGTAACTTTTATTTTAAAAAGTTAGAGAGGGGATACTTTTGTCACTTACTATAAGTATTTCTAATAAGTATTTTTAAAATAATTAACAATTGCTTAATAAGTACTTAGATATATTTGCAGATGTATTTATTTAACAATAATGTAATAAACTAAAAATTTAGTTAATATATTAGTGCTCTACTACTTTTTTGTATTTAAGTTTGCTATCTCAAACAGGTAATATAAATTGCTGCAAATGTGAAAAGGCAAAATTACCTTGCGGAAGTAGCTGTCATCATGTTAGTAATAATTAGTGTAGCTAGAATAAATGACTAAAATAAATGCATAAATAGTTTGCGATGTATTGCTGTTTATATTGAATTTGGAGCATTTAATTTTAAGCGGGTTCAGACAACTTTATATTAATTCAAAATTTTTTAACGATTTGAGTGTATTTAAAATTTCGACCCAATTTAAGTGACCAATATTCCATTCTGACATACTTATATCGATATCGATATTTGATTTATTAAAATTTGTATGATGCAAGTTTATTCATACGTTAGAGTCAATAAACAATACTCGCATGACAACGTATCACGTAATTTGAAATTTTAAACAAGAACTTAAAAATTTAAAACCAGTGGCTTTATTCGAGTACAGTGCAGTAGATACGTAACGGGCTTAAGTACAGTACGTATGTACGCGCGCAACAGCTTGGTTTAAGCTAATCACATAATAAATCGTAAACCAATTTTAGAATAATGAATTTCTTTTGAGATGTATGAATGGTCAAGATAGATAAGCTGATTATGAAATCAGAAATTTCTCTATACATAATTCATGTGATTTAGGTTGTTAAAGTCATTGAAACCGAAATGAACTTTTATGATAAAGCTATTGAATTAGTAATTGTGATAGGATATCTAACTAGCACAACGGCAACGAAGAAGGTTAGCTATCGCTATGGAACTTTTATTGCTTTAATGACAGTTAGTTTAGTGTTCCAATTATAGGTGTGACTAAACTAGGAGTTTTGCCACATGTCATATCCTAAACCTGGAAAAACTAGTTTGAAACTAAACATAATCCTAAATAGTGTAAATATTTTTAGAACTCCGCGTAATAGATATAATATAAAGAATTTGTCACACTATAAATAAAAAATCTTCTATTGCTAATCCAAGATTCGGCAATAAAAGATATGCCCCTTGAAAGAGAATTGCGTAACGGCAATAATCTGCCTTCATTTGGATCTTGAAGTATACGACGGCACTAAGAAAAATAGATCGTAGTATACAAAAAGAAGCATATAACAAACATCATGTGGCAAAAATACATAAACACTCATACATAAGATAAATTACGTAACGCAGATACGTGTAATCAGGACAAAATTACTAATAATAATTTCATTTTTTTTATTAATTTTTATATATAAAAAAAAAAAATAGAAATTTTTTTAATCGCTGACAAATAAATTCTATGTTAGGATGAATAGGATGAAAAAAATCACAAATCCTAATTCTTTGAATGCAAGTATAACAATGAGAAAAAAAAACTATTATGCACGAGCGATTTTTTTGAATAATGAAAATTATTGAAATGTGTTAAGGAAATAAGAATTCTATGTACAATGGATATGAAAAAGTGTGTATCCATCAATTATAATATATTCACATCCATCGCCTAAAAATATTGATACGTACTTCTATTGTGTTTTAATATGCGAATACTGATATATATATATATACAAAATGAGAAATTTTGAAATTTCTAATAAATAAAATCATCGAAATGAGTTTGAATGAACATATGAACATTTTCAATATAATATGAAAATATGATATGAATGGTGTAGATAGTACAATAGTAGATAATAGTAAATAGTAACGCAACGTTAACAAGAACAGGACCAAATTATTGGACGTAAAGAGATTTAGACATTCTCCTCGCGCGTAAATTTCTAGGATTAGAGTAAACTTTTGAAGAACCACCGGGTTTATAGTAACGAGGTAATGGAGCACGGTGATAAAATAAAGTTGTTTGTTGCTGAGGAGGTAATTGAACTTTTGACATAAGCCACGCGGAAGAAGTTAAAATCGGCTTGCTAGAATACAAGGCAGGTGGCGATAATGGTGGAGAGGTTGAACTTGGAGATGTAGGATAAGAACATCCCAAATGGTCTTGAATCTTGCATTCTTCAGAGCAATATATAGCACCCTGAATTATAAAAGGATAAGTTTTTTTTAGTAAAATTAGAAAAACCTAATTATTTACTCTAAATCTTTTTTTTTTAATATACTTACGGGAATATTGCAGTGAGAATTGCACATGATGCACCAGTCAGTATCCATTCTTAATTTTTTTATATATTTTTTTTTTGGGTTTGAAAATTAAATTATTTGTTTCGCGTAAAATAAAAAAGTCGTAATAATACGTAATAAACAAATTTCGATTTTTTAAAGTCGTAGTAAAATTCGAAAATTTGTTGAGAGACAAGTAAGAGCGGAGACGCCAACTATTTATAACAAAAAAAAAAATTGAATAATAAAAAAGGATAATTGTATCAGGAATTTAACGCCGAATATTTGTCTATTGATTTATATTAAGTCATTCAAAACATATATGGAAAAAAGTGGCATTATAAGATTATATTAACGGAGTGATTGGCTGAAACTCAAAGGAGGTCCGCAGATAAAATCTAATGTATATCGGCCGGTTTTGGATTGGGCCCTGTAATCGCATTTATCTTTTGCAGGGTAACCATATGCCACCAAACATATGCCACATACTTTATTATTATTTATAGATTAACATTTTTAAAATTAGTATACAAGGGAGATCATTGGTTCATAAATATTAATATTATTAATATTGCACAAATTTATGAGTAACACGTATCACACTTTATATTATCCGAAATTCATTCCTTCAAATTGGGAGTTTACATGTAGGAAAAATAAATAAAATAAAATAAAAATAAAAATAAAAATTAAATTAAAATTAAACATAAAGACTTTAATTTATTCATGCGTGGTCTTGATGGAACCATATGGAAAACAACGAACACCAATTGTTTCTCGATTTTCAATTGTGCATTGAATTTAATTATCCACCACATGAAGTCGATCGATAATTTATCATTATCGAATCATTACTAGCATTTACCGTTTGATGAGCACACATGTCTATCATGTATCTTTAAATTTAAAAAAAAAAAAACACCAATGATTTTCGTACATTAAATTTTCTCGGCCATATTTGACTTTCCCGCCTGTACACAAAAAAAAAACATAAAGGATATTAATTTTAATCGTGCAATGGAAATGTGCGAATTTAATGTCTTGCAAAAACTGCATCATGAATTTGAAATATAGCTTGTTATCGCTACAATTTCTGCACAATAATTTTTTTAAATGACACAAATCATGTGCACAAAGTTTTCAACATTTCAAATAAAGACCGTTTTTCTTTGGCGTAATTTGATCCGCCCTTATAAAGAATGAAATATATGCTCATTCACTAAGGGAATCTGTTGCATTAAAATTAGTAATTAGGTATTTATTCATTTCTTTTAGATAAATATCATTATGGATGATCGTCCTTATTGGTCAAAATAACGAAAATTTATTCTCCTTAAAAGATTTGATTTATATATCGTTATATATTATGATATAGTACGGGCTAAGTTGGCCTGCATTATCCCTTCTTATTTGGTTAAATTTTGGTATATCATAACCCAATCTAATAATGATTCAAAATAAAATTTTTAAAAAAAATTTGTCTAAACCTATTTAGAACACTAATGAATCCTGGCTTTAAACTTAATATTCAAGTCATGTGAATAGCAAGTCTTTAACCGCTTCCTTATTTAGAAAACTAATTAATGCATTTTTAATATTAATCAACATTATTATATATATACAGTACAGCATTATCGTTATTTCATCAAAAGAACAACCATCACTATTGTCTATAGATAGACAATACTATTTATAGAGAATTCCGAACATTGTTCAAAAAGGCATAATTGAAATAAACGATTATGTTTGCTAATAATCATAAACTTGTTTTTTATTCTTTAAAGCATTCGAACAAATTCGAATACGTATCATAATAAAAAAAAAAAGGGTAGGGTCCTGCAATAAGAAATTATCATAGTAAAAAAAAAATATATACACACATTTAAGGAACAATCCGGTTAAAAATACAGAAGCGTATGTTACCCGATAGAAGCAGATCCTCAAAGATATACCTTGATAGATTATTGTATAATTTGTTTATTTTAGGAAATTTTTTTAGATGTACTTACATATCCAAGTATTTTATATACATACATAATGACTCATAATGAATATTTTTAACTTTTTCTTTAGGAAATTCCGGAATTGTTAATGCTAAATAAGAATGCGCTTCATTTAACATGTATGTAGTACTAAAAAAAACCCCCATTAATGAGAAAAACGCCAAACATTAATATATTAGTAAAGAAATTACATAGTTAAGTTGATTGTACGTCATAATACTAAGGTATATATTATATATAATATATATTAAAAATACATCTTTTAATGCAAGAAGCCAAGGTGCTCATATTGAAAGATACCATTGAAATCCGATTGACTTTAATGCTATTATATTTCGTTAATTGTTCGTTACCGTAGTATCCTTGCCTTCATGATTTAAAGATTGATTGATCTAATAACACATAAATATATTTACTAATAAAACGGTCTCCCTAATTTCTTTCCATTATTGATTAGATTTTCTCAAACATAAAAACAGTTATTTATGCGTAGCATTCATCCATAAGCATAGCCATCGGAGCGCATATATCCGAATTTGTGATTAATATAGATGTCTTGTATCATGTTCATCATTTGAATGAACTATCGGATTTTTAGTCAGCCTGAAAACAGGTCAGCAAAATGACCGTAACTAAAATGATCAAATGACTAGTCATTTGCCTTCTAACTATAAGTATAGAGAGGTAATGTGATATTTTTGTGATACTAGTCGCCGAAGAATAAAACCATCCTTGTTACACAATGCATTTCTAAATTCTAGATCTCAAGACTATTTTGAACTTATTGTTCTTAACGTTAAATGTTCTAAATTCCAAACTTTTAGAGTATTTTTGTGATGTATTTAGTAGTTACATAACCAAATTTTATTTGTTAAAAAATTTATCTGGTCAAGCACTAGCACTAGTATATATTTTAGAGTTTCATAATTAGAGTATGACCAATAGGAGCTTCAAGAAAGATGCTTATCACATAATTATTTCAGTTTCTACTGATCGAATGACGAGATTTTACGAATCATAATAAGTTACTGGCAATGCTTGCTAATTCCCAGGTAAACCGGGAAATAACAAGCATTTTTTGAAGTGATGTTTGTTTGTTTGTTTGTTTTCTTTTTTTCTTTTTTTTTTTTTTTTAATGATTAAAGCAACCATTATAAATAAGGAATATGTAAAATAAAAGCCACTGTTTAAAAAAATATTACTTTATTGTCGATGAATAAATTAAACCCCATATGTACCGGTACGTACTTGAATTTTGATGGACGGCATGATCGGTATATAGGATAAATATTTTTACATAATAAGCATATTACACGAATAGGCGCTGATATTAAAAAAGCTAGATATGATTAAGAATTTGTTAACTGGTTTTTAAAATGTAAAAAAATGTAACTCGAGATTCCAAAAAAAGATTTAGTATTTTCTGCTAACACCTAAGTGTTTGGCAATTTTTCGAACTGATAAGCCTTCTAAATTTCTTTCGATTATTTGCCAACGAAGATACTTTGAAAGTATCATATTTCCGTATTTCTGTATTCAACCAGAGATATTCGTACATATGTAATTTTATAATATTTATATTAGTCCCCTATCTTAACTGGATCATCCGAAAAATAATTCGGAAAATTTTCTTCAGGAAATGAAAACAGTTGTAACTCCTGCCGTTGCGAGAAATGAATATATTTAATCACTGAATATTTATTGAATAATGTTAAATTGATTCGATCTGAATCACGTGATCAAAAATTACAGTAATTCTTAGAACACCTGGTAAAAATGTTCCGGCCGATTCGATTAAGTGATTTCGGCATAATAGATTCAATAAAATTGATATATCTTCAGTCAAGTCTTAAAACAAGTCAAAGAACTTGTTTAATGATGATCAAAAGAAAAGAAAGTAAAGCTTCAGGATCCAAATCTCTACGTATGTACGTACGTACGTTCGTACGTGAATACTGTATATCTGCAAACATATAAACATATACTGAGAAAAGGGACGACACAAAAGTGGTTGTGTTAATAAAATTTTGCAATATAGCTTATAAGATTTACAACATAAAAATTGATTTTCCAAAGATCTCTTTTTTTGTCAATTTCTTTCTATTTTAAAAACTGGTTTGATGAATTTTTTATACTGAGGTGCGTAATATGTCTGCACCTCTAAGTTGAATACAGAAAGCAGCTTCTCTGGAAAAAATTTAGCCCTATCATTTCGAAAAATTGCCAAATACTTAGGTGTTAGTAAGTCAGGTTCTTAAGCATTTTCAAAGATATGGATGTATTGAAAATTTTTAATATTAGCACATATTCGTGTAATATGTTATTGCAAAAGTTTTTTATTTATATTTTTGTCGGTTGACAAGAACAGCCTTTTCCATTTCATGTTTGGCTAATAATATTGACATTATTGTTATGATCTGTAAAACATGATACAAAAATATGTATGGATCATGCCGAAATCACAAACTTAATCAAATTGGCTGGAACATCATTCGGTCAATTTCTTATCAGGTGTTCCAGGAATTATGAAAGTAGCTGTGACGCAATTGTAGATCTCGGTTTATAAACTGGACCAACAGATCATAAATTTTTTCGGCCGATTCGATTAAGTTTATACTCTATAAGTTAGGTCTCAAGCACTTTCAAAGTTACGGATATATTGTCAGTTTTAGGAAAACCACGTTTACTAAACCTGAATAATATATATGTTATTTGTATGAGTTACAATTGGAGATAAAACTTTTAAGTCAACTTTGATATGCAAATAAAATAACAAACCAAAAACAAAACTACATATAATTAAAAGGATACGCCGCTTAAAGGTTCCACGCATCATACTCGTTCTAACAAAAAACTATACATACTATCTTTTTAATCTGTATTTGTACTAATTCGTGTAATATTATAAAGCCTAATTTATATCCAGAGCTTTTTTAATCTTTCTTACTAAGTTTATTGGTTGACAACAGCTATCTTTTTATAAACTTTTGTACAAACTAAACACATCAAATATTTAACGAGTATGTTAACGTTCTAACGCTCTATAGG